TTCAAACTAAGTACATAAAGCACGAGCTCGATAAATAAGTAGCACGGCCAGAATTCTCTAACTCGGACAATAAATTCCGCACTGTTACAAATACCTCTCTCGCGCTTCACGCTTGCTCGAAGTTCACTTTCGACTTGTATCTTAATTAATTAAAAGTTACAGTAGGTATTTCGCGACTATTCACAATTCGTACCATGACGCCTCTCTGATAACTATTGTTGGAAATATTTCAACACTTGTTCACATACTCGAAAATAATTGCAAATCGTAAAATGAAAATTATCCGACTTGAAGATCCCAATTTGAGCTGTCCAGCGTAGTAAGTTCACAATCTGAATCTATTTGTAAATTTCAGTTTGTCGTATAAATAAAATCGCTCGGAAATTTATTTATAGACAATAAAAAATAAAATGTTAATTATAACATTTTTCACATGTCCTAGAAAGTTCACTATAAATCTTAAGTTAAAATAACTCATTCGTCGTGTGTTATTTATTGACAAATTAAAAATGTTAAATAATTGTCACAATACTTTACATTTATTTTTGTTATCGTGACTTTAAGTGTAATGTAAAAATAACATACAAATTAATTAAAAATTACATGAAAAAATAGTTTCAATAACTCGTAAGAAATGTTGAGGATATTAATATATAATAGTAATTATTTTAATTATTTGAATTATTTGTAATGGAAACATTTGATTTTAGTGATTATTTTTGTGAGTCAAAGTTCAAGATTATTTGAAGAGTCACTTTAACTTTTCTTAGAATGTTAAACTGACTTTGAGACATGTCGATTGTTTAAAATGATTATGTTAAAAATACTCAAAATAATATTCCATTTCTAAGAGACATATACAAAGTGTTAAGTTATAAAGTTGACATAAATGTAACACATAAAAACGTTATAAAAATAATAACATGTTAATTTTACATTGAAATACTAATCAAAACGTGGTAACGCAAGAAAATTTTAACACATGGACGCACAATTTTTTACTATGTAGTGATATCTCGTATGTGTTCTTGGATTAAGACAGAATGCCAAGGATATCCCTCGGCGATGCACGACCGCCAATCGGATCATGACAATTGAACGAGCGCCAACGGGATTAAACGCGACGACACAGTCGGTCGCAACAAGAATCAGACGCAAATCGCGAATTATCGTTGAAGCTTATATCCACGCGTCAACAAACGGGCGTTAGTTACGTCCGTTTGCTAATATTGACGTAGCATTAATACTGCAAACCGTGATCTATTATTCCATTAAACAAGATTTCACTCGAGGGAACGTTTAGGAAACGAGCACAATAATTTCTGGCTTATTCGATCAGGCACCCTTGCCCGCGAACTTCTCTTAGGTCCTGTGAGTACCTATCGACGCTATTGGCTAGCTCCTGGGAAACTTTTTCCAAAGCTCGACTTTAAATTGAAAGCGAGCTCTAGGACGAATAAAATCATTTGTCGCGCGACAGGAATTTCCCGAATTTTGCACGGACGCCAAGACAATTCCGGAAGTAAGCATGTTAATGATTCGGAATCTGACATAAAGGAAGGAATCTCGGCGAAGATGTCGGCAGATGAACTGATGACGGTAACCAGACCGGAATTCGAAGGTTTCTCGGCCTGTATCAATTACCAGAATAGCAATGGTTTAATCTTCGTGTTTGCTGAAGAATTTAATCGCGCGGGATAAAAATTTATTCGTTTATCGCGTCGATCGGTAAATTGGATGGCGGGATGTTTTTAAACTTTTATTCGTGAAAAGCGGAAAGAGAGCAAATTTCCACGCGCCAAATGAAACTCGTCCGGCATTTGCATCGCACGCAATGCGATTACTCGGATAAATAGCTGATTCATTACAATTACAGCTCTAAATGAGAACCGTATCAAGTAAACCAGCGTTCCAATATGCGTCAGGTTTTTTTTTTTAGCAAGAGCAAATAGCAAAAGCTGGCAAATTCAAAAAGCTAAAAGAACCACGAAAATTAGAGGATACAATAAAATTATTTGTTACTTTTATTTTTAATGCTGTTATTAAATTAAATTTTATTACGATATAAAACATTCTACAATTAACTCAATTAAATATATTTTAATGATATTATATAGTGATTAATATTTGAATTAAGTATTTAGTATGAAATGTACAATGGCACATTTTTATTTAAATATTTTAATTAGTAAAGATTTATTTTTATAATATTATAATTAATGCATCTTTAGTGATTGTAATTTCCAAGTTTATTAATATTTATGTTAGAGTGATAATATATAAATTTATAAAAATTTATACACATTATTGCAATTATTATCTATCTCAATATTATTACCATTTGTACTATTTTTTACTCTCTGAAATATATGCTAAAATAATTTACATGTTTATTATGTAAATGAATTAAACTGCAATATAATAAATATTTTTTTTCACAGTATAATAAAATTATTATAATGTCATTGTGAGCCGTATAAATAACGTAATCGAGTGAAATGTAGCATCAAATAAATGTATGTATATCCGCAATGATTCACACATACAGTCAGCAGTTTTCTATCATTATATACTGCTTTCCTGTCATGGACCGACTAGGCAAATAAAAAAAAGTTTTCAATTAACGCTATCAATAATATTTGTTTATTTAATCCGGAGGATTTAATGCACATAATAATTGCTATTGAAACAATGCTGATTGTTCTCAAATCGAAATCTGGGAGAATTATATATTTTAAGTTTTTCATAAAAACTGACGCGTAAATACGGTCTGATATTTTTGAAAATAACGTGGCAAAATTGTATGAAAAAATATGGGGTAAACTCAGATCATTTCAATAAAATTTAAAACTGCACGTGGAAGGAAAAAAATATTATTTTTAAGAGCTCCATAATATGAATTTGAAATTATTATATAAAAATTATGAAATATTTTTCATTCATTCCTTATTATCACTGGTCAATTACTAGAATCACAGTTATTTTCGGGCAGATGAGAGTGTTATATGAACTGATACATTAACACATTAACATGTTACATTTCACGATAAACAAGCAGGAACTGATAATTTATCAGTTCCTGCTTGCTCATCGTGAAATGTAATGTATTAATTTTTGAAGAAACAGAGACTTACTCGAACTCGGAATCTCGACTCGTTAACGTCATCGAATAATACTGCCATTAGTTTCATCTTCCCCATTTTCGAACTTTGGTTAAGGTACGTTTGAGAGTGGAGAGTTCTGTGCAAAAGTGTAATAGTTCTCTAAAATATTTAATCTATATTATATGAAGTTGGAATAAAATTTTAGTGTCTTGTAATTTAATTGTAAATTGTCAAATGTTACAAAACATTTAATATTTAATTAAGACATTTTTATTTCTATTTATTGTCTATTGATGGATTTTAATTTGACTAGAATTAGTCAATTTTCATCACAAAATTTTTTTTAAGAGCCATTACTTCCAACTTTTCGCAGAAAAATATTTTTTTCGGATAAGAAATAAAATATTTTTAAAATATTATTAAATTAAATATTCTTAAAAAAGCAAATATTTTAAAAATATTATTAAAAAATCAAATATATGCGAAATTATACATGAAAAAGAAGGCTTTGTGGTCTTTGAATTAATTGATTCTTTCACATCGCGACGCTCTTTAACTCTTATTCACAGCCGAAAAATAGCAATCGTGTTTGAAAATCGAAACGAACAGTTTTATTCGTAAACTTCCAATGTTTATATTTATCTTAGGCAGTAACGCGCGCGATATTTATTGATTCTGAATAATTTGCAATTATTGCGAGCGCGAATGTCGAAAGTTCGTCGCGAGAATCAAAGTGCCGACGACACAACTTTGACGTTACGAACAACGCAAAATTAGCGGCGACGCGTCAGCGATTCTCCGTTCCATAGGTTTTCCAACAGTGATATGTCTCTCATTTTCGCCACGTTTCGCCATGACGTGAATTTATCGTTCGTGCAGCTCGTGTAACTGTAACGTTGAGCTTTTCGCTGGTCCTACGTCCCACCAAAATTGTTTTGCGCTTCGAAAAACGTGCGGTATCGCGCTCATCTGATGCATCGCGTCAAACAACGCTGCTGCATCGCTCGTCCTGGTACAAATACGTGATGCACGTGTGCATTTCGTGCACAATGCACACTTTCAATGAATTTAATAAAATCTATATACCCTGCATATGTGCGCGTAGTTGAAAATTTGTTTGTGTATCTTGGATTGTCGATATAGCTTTAATTTAATCTACATTTCTTGGATTATTTAATTAAATTTTAAAATAAATCTCTCTATATCATTTATTGTTCAATATCCATTGATATTGTTTCTCTAAATTTTAATATTTTATTCATTCATTTTGTTATAATAATGTTATATTAATATTATATATCACATTAGTGTTATATTTTAATATTTTATTCATTTAATGTTATATTAAGGATTCATTAGTTACATTGAAATTCATAAAAAATAATTATATTCATATTAGTTTCTTTTATGTTTTTTTTTTATTCAATCGTACATTTAAAAATTAACACTTTGTAATATTTTATTGAATATAATAAGTAAAAAGAGCTCGATTAATATATATTATGTATTTTACCGTACATCTCGCTGCGACTAAAATTAAAAAAGTGTAATCAGAGAGCCGCTGGCGCGATAAAATATATAAATGTTGTGAAAAAAATTTGCTACATTCAATGAATGTGTCAATGTTCCGCTGGCTTGCAGGCGAAATTTAACTGCAGATTAAATTGCGCGTACGTTTTCATATGCAGAAGAACGAGAATCTTGTTTTCTTGTTCCTCTCGCTCTCCTGCTTACGTTGTCGGCCGAGTTTTCGGTGCATGATAAACGAAGTTCTCCCTGCGCGCGAATAAACTTGTATCCTAGATACATCGTAAACGCATTGACATAGTAAAAGCGAGGATATACAGTGCGTCGTAAGTCGAATGTTGCGACATAAACCGAATGTTTCTTTTCCAGGAGGAACCTCGCGAAGATGCGGGACCGGCTCTCGTGGTACATGGTCTTCCTGATCCTGCCGACAATCCTCTTGGCCAGGTCGCTCGATAAGGGTGAGTAAAGAATAACAACATCTCTTTTCTTGTTGGAAGAGGAGATGTTTTCCCTATTTTGTAACATGTTTTCTTTATGTCAAAAAAACTTATGCAAATAAGGATAACTAAATTCGTCGCATAAATAAATTCGTGACATTTATTTATTATATTTATTGTTTGCGAAAGAACAGGCAAAAATCCATTACCATTTATGCAATTTAATATATTCAATATTTTTCGAAATGTGTATACAAACATGTAATAATCACGCGGAATATTTTTCATGTCATTAAAATGAATAAAATTGGAGAAAAATAAATAAACAATTCTTTGCGCCAAGTTGAATAAAATTGCAAGTTACATTTCATTGTCGTTAATTTCTTCATAATACAAAAAAGATGAAAAATAAAATACTAACAAGGAATAATGAACGGATACAATAAATTAAAAAAGATATATATTATTCTTTTTCTTTAGAAAATATCTCGTTACACGCGTGAATATAATAATGTATACGAAAACACGGGGTTTGATCAATTCCTAAGCGTATTGTATCGTTAAAAAGTGCGAGAGAATGCCCCTTTCTGTGCATTGAACTACGAGGCATTATAACCGCTCCGCTGCGATGCACAAAGGGAGTCTTTCAAATATTGTGTAATTATTAAATGCCGCTTATACAACAAATAAGGTATAAATATAAAGCTTTTATTTTCAATTGGCATAGAAATCCGCAAAGTACGCTTTCGGGTGCATTTATGAGATAGAGAGACTTCAATAATTCTGTTCTATAGATTACGATGTAATTGTATTAATTTGCAATAAACGTTAATGTTTTAAAACATTCATGCACTTGTATATTATTGAGAAAATTCATATTAATAAAATAAAAAATATATTAATAAAATATATTTATATTATTATTAAAATTAGAAGAATGTTAGTTCAAAAAGAAAATAACCCTTTGCGCGAGCGCGGTGCTCTTAGCGTAAAAGCCCCGGGGTTAATCGCAGGTGAAACTTGAATGAGGCGCTCGAAAAGTTAACGCTCGAATTTACATTTCGCGGTGCAGGTCGCATTAGGGCGCATTACGTCCATGAAGTATTAATTTCACCTAAAGAAAGCGATATCGCGAGCGTTTTCCTCGTAATTACCTTTTAGTAATTATCTGGAACATACATTACGTGCGTGATTTTATATCGCGTCCTCTATATTACTGTCAAACATTGAAATTCCTACCTGTTTCTTGGACATTAATCGCATATAATTATTCTAATTTAATTCGTGCTCATCGACATTATAGCAAATGCGTGCATATATAAGTTATAATTAAAATAAACTTAAATTTATATCGCTAGAAAAGAAAATTGGAAGAGAAAAGAGATGACAAAATATATATGGTTTGATAAATAATTTTTTAATCGATCGTAATAAAAATGAGATTAATTGATATTAACAGAAATTTATTAATTTAGAAATTTTGAAAATTTTATTAATCACAATTCAGCGTTAAAGAAGTATACGCATAGATGTAAATACATATATTTTTTTACAAAAAAGCTTAGCTTATCTACTACGGAAAGTACGCCGACTCGTACTAGATAGACGGTGCTAAGTAAATAATTCTTTGCGCGTGATAAATGCGATGACACCTAGAGAAGGCCAGTAGAAAATAAGGACACGCCTGTGTAAAGATGTGCCAGCGTGCATTCTTTGTAATGCCCGGAAAACAGTAGCAGACGGAGAGCAAAATAGGAAACTCGGGGCTAGAAATGTTATTCCTTTTCGTTTATATTTTTGCGGAGAATAGCTCGCAGTGGTAGGCGGATATATGTATTCTTTCTGCGACAAATCCTTTTTAACGCATCAAATCATGTTGCTGGCTTGCTTGTTTGCGCATATGCGTATCAAACATCAAGTTTTTAAACAAAGCGAAAAAGTAGAAATATAAGAGAGAAAATGTTTTTCTTCTATCAAGAAAAATGAAAAATATTGAAGCGAAAAGTTAGGCATTAGAGAGAGAAAAAGAGAGCGCGCTTGCTCGAATATTAAATATTAAATATTCTTAATTTATTCTTAATGAATATTATTAAATTTCTTAATTTATATTTTTTAGAATTTTGAAAAAAATAGATATACAATCTAGTTATTTTTTTAAAATCAATATTAAATTATATAATATATTTATTTAAAGCATAAAGTCTTTCTCTCTTTGAAATGAAAATTGAATACAACAATAACAGTAAATTATATAAAAAAATTTTTAAGGTTTGTATTTCGTTTCCAATGTATCTTTCAATATTTTTTAAATTTATTGTAATATTTTTGTGTACATCATTTTTATTTTTATGTGATTTACAAATCAATTTTTATCAATGACACGTTCGATTATTTATCTGAGAATACGTATCACGTGCTGATAAATGGGATAAAATACTAGAAATTTTATCCTGTGATGTGTACTATATAAAAAGAAAACAATACAAGCATGCATGCGTATCCAAGTTTTTAACAGGCATTTGATTTACGGTGGTAAACACGATGAAAGTGCTTCTAATTAAAATTCTCAGCATCAGTCGATCAATCTTCAAGTACAACACGGATCGTTTATCCCAAGCTCGCACACATCCACGCGTTTGTATTCATATACAACCACCGTGCGAGTCATTAGCGATGAGGAAGAGAAAGGAACGTGCAAGAGAAAGCTTCGCGGAAATATGGAAATGCATGAAAGACGCGAGATGTGCATAAAAATAACACGATGCATTTTCTAGTCTGTCGCTCGTTAAAACACGATGTGCGATGTCTCAAGCGAGATATTTTCATCAATGCACCCGCGCTCGAGTCATGTCGGAAAAATGCATGCAGATTCGCTTGGTCAACTGCCAATGATGGGGGTGGGGGAGGAAGAACGCACGCGACAAAATAATGCAATATTCAAGCTACGTGCGAGAAACGAAGTCTTTCGGTTGCGGGACGAAAAAGAGGAAAAACGAAAAAGACGAAAAATCCGTAAAAGTGATAAAAAACGAATATTTGAATGTAAAGAATGCGAAATACCTTTAAATATATACGCCAGATAGTGACATGTGCACACCGTACTCTCTGTCGTAAAAACAACGAAGTGTGCGATAAATTTACGCTGCGCGTTTCTACTTCTGCTACTTTTTCTCTTATTCAGATCCTCCGCGTACGAATATTTTTGCTAATATACATTGTCATTATTTTTGCATAGCACTCTTGCAAAATGGAGAAAAGAAGAGGAAAATAGGAAAAAAGGGGAGATGCACGATATGTTTTAAAGTTACGCGCTGCTTTGCTCTTACATATTTATTTACACGCGTTTTTTTACAGGAAAAAAAAGAAAGAAGAAAAAGAGGTCGATTGTTTGCAAGAAATTATTAATTACATTCGAGCGCCAAGTTACTTTCCTTTTTTTATCCCTGCAAACAAGTTTCGAAAATATTTGCACCTGGATGCGAAATAGTTTCGGAAGCGAAACGTTGCCGAAATCGAGCAGTAGTTCCATCGTTAACATCGCGAAACAATGAATGAAAACCAGTGTTGCCTAAAATTTTATCACGCGTTTCACGTCGTGGCAAACGGACGATGATTAAAGGGCTTAACGCCGATCGATCAGCCGTATTGTTGCATGCAATGCACAATCGAATACAGTGATTTATATTGGATAAAAAAAAAGCGTTGTGTTAAACGAGAATGCGCAACAATAATAATCACATGTACAGCCTAATCGTACCTGTAGTTGCGTACGTTTACATTACATTTGTCCGCACATTCTTCATTAAAATCCACGGAATTGTTTCCATTCCTCACTTGTAGGCACGCATAATCGTCATAATACGTGGCACGCGACCTCGATCGATATTTGGAATTATGAAGGGGATATACCTTTTTTTTGCTTCGTTTATTGGATTTTATCATTCACGATCTTCTTTCAATTAACGAATAAAGAAGAGAATTTTAATTTTAGGCACGTTCTTATTCGCTTTTTATCAAATCTTGTTGATTTAACATTAAAAAAATATTTATAAAAAGTATTTATTTAAATTATATTTATAAATAGTATTTATTTATATTATATTATATTATATTATATTATTTATATTATATTTCGACAATTTTACGTGAAAATGTCTACCTTTTTATTGATAAGAAAATATTAGGCAACCAGTTTTTAAGATTTTTATCATGTGATATATAACGCAGAGAGGTATATGACTAGGAAACATATTATTACGTCATTTACGATCTTATTTCGACGAATTGTGCTAGAAAAATACCATCAGACACTCTATTACGAGCGTTTCTAATGGGAAACGCCCCTTCTGTGATGCAATTTTACTCGCGTTGCTCGACTCTATGTCGCCTTTCTTCAAAACGTGCAAAGGTGAATAAAAAGCGGAGAATAGAAAGAGAAGGAGAGAGAGAAGGAGTAAATAATGAGCGTGCGATAATCAGCAGTGTGGAGAAGCAGTCTCATAGGCTTGTAGACATGCAACTACCTGCCGCAATAAAAAGGATTTAACGTGCGTGCAAATCGCGACCCGCTATCCGAGGAGGAAGTATTCTTAAAGCTACGTGATGGCCGTTTAAAAGAGACACGTTAAGAATAGCTTGGCTTTTTTATATTAATCGCTATAATAGAAGAGTATTTTTTGCAACAATAAGTTTTATTTGCCACTAAATTACGACTATTATTATTATGCTATGGGGATTTGTAATTTAAAAAAAATTACTAAAATAAAATCGAACATTTGTAACAAAAGGATTCTATCATTGATACTTTACTATCAACTCATAAATTTTGTATTATTGCTTAAGAAAATTATTAAAATATTACAAAGAATATGATATTACCTTATTATTATTATCGTCATGAAAAATTATGATAATCTTTCAAAATAAATATTATCATATAATTATTGTATAATAATATTTATTTATATAATTATATAATATATTATATATTTAAATTATATAATTATATAATTATTATATAA